ATAGGCTTATTAATTACTGTTCACATACCTCTGAATACTACCCTTTTTGGCTGTTGTTTAGTTTGGATACAAAAACTTCAGCTATCAAAAGAAACAGACATGTTTACCTTGTTGGAATGGATTCATGTTTCAAGGAGACAAAAGGCTCTTCCTACATCTGAGTCATTTGTTAGCAGCTGGTTCAGTTTGGCATCACAATAAATTACATTGAGAGCTCAATAAGTAATCACTGGTTGGGTTGCCATAAATCTGGAATTGGTCAAATATTTCCAAACCATAAATAATAATTGTAAATCTGCATTTTTTGAGTTAATTCTGCATCAAATAAAAAGAATCCCATTGTTACAGTGCCATGCTATACTCAGACTTGAGCTCCATCCAGGCCAGTACAGAATTGGTCAATGGAATGTGCCTAACCACACCTTAGAAGCAAGAGTGCCCCATGTTATGAAATATGTGTGAACTAACAACTCACCAGACATAACAGAAATCAAAGAATCATAGAATTATAGAGTTGGAAGAGACCACAAGGGCCTTCCAGTCCAACCCCCTGCCATGCAGGAACTCCAAATCAAAGCATCCCCAACAGATGGCCATCCAGCCTCTGCTTAAAGACCTCCAAGGAAGGCGACTCCACCTCTCTCCGAGGGAATAGATGTTACATACTAACAGGGCTGGCACAGACTTATTGCTGCCTGTAGCTGAGAAGTAAACACTGCCTACCCTCAGTCATCCTCAACCCAACCAAGGGCTCATTCCCATTTACATTTAACCCAGTTTGCAATTCGCTTTCAACTCCCCATGTCCTCTAAGTTCCCTGGGATGCATGCAGCTATGGGTATCATATGGAGGATTCTCCCCTGGGATGCATCATCCTTGCAGTATTTGGTGGACATGCTTCCTAGTCAAGCTCAGAATGGAGGGTGTTTTGGAATTCCTCCTGGACAGAAGATTGGAATGTAGGATGGGTCCTGGGAAAGGAGATGGTGAAAATGGTGGATTTCTCCAAAAACTAGTGAGGGATTTGCCAACCCTCTGCCACAGTAATCCATCCCCTTCAGTTTGATGTGATTCAAGTCCATCATTCCCACTTGCTGAACATGCTTGCTAATTGCTTCTTTTCAAAAGAACGATCAAAAAACGAATGTCAGGAAAGAGCGGTTCTTTTGTGTTTGCCTCACTTCATCGTGATTGAAACTGAGTGCAATTGGTTCAGAACTGGTTTCAAGTGGGAACGAAAGACATATAACCCAATCAGCGATTCATTTTAAATGATAGTGTGAACAAGGCCCATGTTATTTTTGTTCTTCTTGCAGAAATATTCCACAAGCACCTCTTCTTCTCTGTGACAGTAAAAACACAGTAACAACATGTGTTTAGCACTGATAATCTTGGGCTCATTTATTAGCATAACAAGCATCATGTATTTTTTGATTAAAAATTTCAGTAAATGTACAGAAATGATTTAATTGATTTTGGCATCGTAGAGCATTCATTTTGAATTGTAGTGAATATCAATGTGTACATAGGTCAGCAATTATAGACCTTCCAAGGTCTTTCATAACATGAAGGGCAAATTATAAACTACTTCTACCATTGTGTCCCTATCATGACAAAGTGTTTGATAGTTAGCATTGACTTGCAGGCTTCAGTGTACTTTTAAGGGTACATATATTTAGCTGTTCTCCTCCTCCTCAGTAACATTGCAAAATACACCTAGTGGCTATGTTGTCTTGTCTTTAATGACTTCACTCCCAGTCATTTCTCTATAAATTAACATGAATCAAGCTGGGTGGAAAAATGTAGATTAGTTATAGTCATCACTTCCTGCACTTATGAGTGGTAGTTGGTGGTTCCCACATCAGTTGATCTTTTCTGAGTTTTAGGGGGGTTGCAGACTGCCAGAAATAGTGCAAATTGAGTCCACTTTTAGGGTTAGGGAATCATGGAAACTGTATTTTATCGTGGCACCAGAGCTCTCTGACAGAGAAGGTTCAATGTCTCAGAAAAAAAAACAATTCCCATGATTCCCTAGCACTAACCCTAAAAGAGGACTCAATTTGCACTATTTCTGGAAGTCTGCATCCCCCCTTAGACTCAACTTTAAAACTGTTGATTTTATTTTCCAGATAGAGTTCAGAACTTGGATCCATCCTAAGACTGGTCTAAAACCCAGAGTTGATTCATGGAATCCAGCTACCAGCTACCAGTGACTCAAACTATAATGGAGATATTTAGATAGGCACAGTCTTTTGTTGTGATAGATTTTTTTCACATGCCTTACACAAAAGGCAAAATTCTTTCCTGTCCCCAAAATATATTTTCCCTTGTTTATTTTTTTTTAGTGCTGCCATGGTTCCATGTTCCTTCTTTATAAGAAAGAGCTTGCCTCTTAATTCTTGTACATGGTTTGTCTATGATTCATAATAAAAACCAGAGAAATCTCACCCTTTGTGAAACAATCCTATAACAGCCTGGAAAGAATTTTATATATAGGATCTCTATATAAATATATTTATTAGAATGGTTAATAAATCATACACACATGCACATATATGAGACATACTTGACAACATGTGACAATTGTCCTATTTACTGCTCAAACTTTAACAATTTCTGGCAAGTAATCTGTAGCAGTACAAGCCCCTATCATGCATAGATAAATTAGGACTGGATTTCTTAGCCTTTCTCCACCTCTGAAGCTTTCAAGTCTCTCACAGAGGCAGACTTCTTTTTTTAAAAAATAGTTCTTTGTGACATTTATGAGGAAGGAATTCCCATTGTCCACCTGTGAAAGAGTTACGTGGCTCAGAAAAGATCTCACTTCTGACAGCATGTAAAGCAAACACCGAATATCCCTACAATCCATAATTTTAAATATTATATCCTGTGCTCCTGGAAAAAGAAAATCCTTGGTATATTTGCTTTGACTTGCGACTATGCACCACATAAAAACAGCTCCTGTTGTCAAGATCTTCCCTTTGTTTGGAAACAGGAAGCATATAATAGGCTTAATGCTGATGTCTAGAGCAAAAACAACAATAAGGCAAATCTCCTGCATGAGGGATAGGACACGAAGTTTCGTTTGGGGATGTGTTCAGACAGTACATTTAATCCCTGCCATCAGTTAGTGGAGAGTATTGCGTCTGGCCTCCTGTCATGTGGACAGAAGCAGAAACATGTCTAAGGTGGTTGGACTGGCTTAGAACGAGATCCTGTAAACAATATAGGAGGCTGCTGGTATACACATTTATGGCCTGGTGGAGGGGCCAACATACTTCTGAGACATCTTTCTCCCATAGCCTACCACCACACTACACTTGACATGAACAGTGAAGCAACTGCCTCAGATGTTGGGGACAGCAGCAGCCATCTCATCACTGTTCCTCCCATTATTTGCCTTTGTTGGAGGGCAGATGTGTCCGTCCCATGGCCTGCCTTGATACCCTGAATTGACTTGCTTTCCTCAGGCATAATAAAGGATACTGTTCTGTTATCAGTAATGAAGAAAGATTTGGCCAGCACTCCAGTCAGCACCTCTGTGTGGAGTGAAGTGGTACATCTTTGCTTCAGGGACCAAAACATCTTGGGCCCTGACAGTTGCTATTATTTGGCATTCAGTTCTACTTCAAGTCCCTTCAGAAAGGAAAGGGATTTAGAATACTCTGAAAGAATCAAGTGAGCAATCCACATTTCCAAAGAACCATACAAAGAACTTGTCAAGACCCTAAATTTAGCCCACAGAATCTTTTTTACTATCATAGACTGCATTCCCTTGAGGATAATCTTGAGTGGACAGATATGTTAACCGTAGATAGGGCAGGGGCCAGAGTCAAACCTGGCTGGATTCAGGACCAAAATGGATGAATTTTATAAAAGGGATGAAATTTGAAACTTAGGCCACAGCTCACAAGTTCCCTACATCTGCTTTAGCCCATCCCAGGGCAAGCACAAATATAAGTGATGCTTCTTTGTGCCATCACATTGTATCAGCAATCTCTCCTCTCCTATGAGGTGTGATATTCTAGCTTTCACATCAAGTCCAATGGAAATGTAGCTACTGGTGGTTTCTCAGGCAGTGGGGAAGTGAAACCATTCCAGGTTTTAACCTGAATTTTAAAAGAGCCATCCAAGGTGCCAGACTATTTGGTGGTGATAGGGTTTCTTACCTTGGATAACTACTTCAGAGTTTAGATTGAAGCCTGCAGTGGATTCAATAACAAGGGAGACACCAACTTTGAAGGTAAACAAAATATGAGGATCACTAGGCCTTCTAGAGGCAAAATGTTTTGCTAAGTGTTATTGCTGTTGTTGCTGTTGTTTTTATAGTCATCTCAGTTTCACAGTGTACCTAGTATTATTAACTGGAGTTTTGGACCATCAATAATTCAGATTCTATCCAAGGATCTAGGTATTAGCTGCAAATGATAGAATGAAATATCTGCAAAAGAAGAAGAAAGAAACACTATGGGTCAAAACAGACTGGCCTGAAGAGCTGGCTTTCTGGTGGCTTGGTGGTGTGATATACACATGACGCATGCCCCCTGGATGCCGGGAAGGCACCATCAAGCTGTTAGAACAACCACACATCAGCAGCTTTTTGACATTCCAGTGGCATGGCATTTGCATGCCGCACACTGCTGGAATTCAAAAAACCCACTACCACCTCAGCAAAGATGCCCTTTTTCTGGCTCAAAAAGGAGCAGTTTTCTGCCACTTCTTTTTATGCCAGGGAACAGCCAGGTTGGGGGTGTGTTGTGCGGTTGCCGTGGCCCCAACCCGGTGCTCCAAGGGGTTGCATCAAGTTGCTCCTTCGGGCAGTCTGCTTTACCCCTACGATGTTGATATGCTTTACCCCTATGATGATGATCTTAATTTAGACCCCATTTTGTCTCCAAAACTCAGACAGCTTATAAATTAAAATAAGTACAAAATAGTTAAAATAGTTAAAACATACAAATAATTAAAGTGGAATTAAACTATGTATTAACAACATCAAATCCAGCATGGTTTAGTGGTTTGAACATTGATTACTACTCTGGAGATCAGGGTTCAAATCCCTGCTCAGGAAACCCACTAGGGACGCTATCACACGGGGGCAAATCTGCTGGTTAATCCACACAAAATTCAGACCGAAATTGGATTAGAGCCCAGTGTTTTCACATGGCGTCGCACAGAAACTGGACAGAAACTGGACAGAAACTGGTGTTAACCGCAATCTTTTGTAATCCAGTTGTCTGGAGGAAATGCAAATATGTAATTACAATAATTACGTATTTACCGTAATGTGATCGTCAAATGCGCATTGGGGAGCATTTCCCTGCTGTTGCCATGGTTCCAGCGAGCATTCCTCTATCTGCGCATGTGCAAGAGGCTCATTTCTAGTACATTTACGTTTTTTTTCTCTTGTGTGTGGACATTCAATTCAATGCGCTTACTGTAAATTCGCAATTAAGGTAATGACATTTGCAGAAACAAGGTTTATTTCCCATTTATTTTCGGGATGCCTCATTTCCACTTTATTTTCAGTTTCTGGGCCATGTGTGATAACGTCCTAGGTCACCTTAGGCAAGTTACATTCTCTCAACCTCAGAGGAAGGCAATGGCAAACCTCCTCTGGAAAGATATCTCTAAGAAACTCCTGTGGTAGGTTCGCCTTATGGTCCCCATGTCAGAAATGATTTGAAGGCATACAACAGGGGTAGGCAACCTAAGGCCTGGGGGCCGGATGCGGCCCACTGAGGCCTTTGGACTGGCCCCAGACTGGTCCTGCCACTGCCGCATGCCATGATGATATTGATTATTGTTGTTATTACTTGTTCTTGGGGTTTTCTTGACAAAATCTCCACAGGGGTTTTGCCATGGCTTTTCTGGGGCTGAGAGAGTGTGAATGCATATTTTTTTAATTTTTATATTTATTTATTTATTTATTTTTGGTGCTTCGGCCCCCCAATTGTCTGAGGGACAGCAACCCGGCCCCCAGCTCAAAAAGGTTGCCTACCCCTGGCATACAACAACAAATAATTACTATTTTTCAATGTAATAACAAGGCAATAGTTTTCATCCTTTTGATATCAGGCACTTAGTTTTAAATTCACAATACAAAGATGGGAATTCCATTTAATTTTGTTACTACATACCATCGTTCTCCTTCTTACCTCTTTCTCTTTTTCTCTCACATTTCTCTATTTAAAACAACTAGTCTCTGTATGTAAAGAACAAAAAAGAAAATATCAAGGTTTTAAAAAAAATGTTTAGATTTTCATTGTAGCTCAGCAGTTTACAATCAAAGTAATATTAGAGCAGGCCAATGATTCTATTTTTTTGTTTGGCATCAGATTTGTACATGTTCATTCATCAATCTTCTTGCTTTAATTTCTATATCAATATGCATTTTTAAATGAAAAAGACATGAAATTTTGCATTATTTAAACACTCCATTCCACAGAATATGTATTATTATAATGATTTTCCTTTCAAATATGCAATTTGGTAATTTTAAAAAATGGTACTTTTTTGAGCTGTAAACCTTATTGCACAGTTTGGAGACATATAAGAACTGAAAGATCACATAGTCTTGTGATGAACGGGCTTGATCTGGTATAGCCTATTTTATTAGGATAATGATGGATAACTGGGTTCAGTGTACTGTATTAGTATGAGAAGTGCAGATAAGGTCAATTCACTTTAATATGTGGAAAACTTGAAATTCCTAGGCCTCCCTAGTGACAGTGAGTGATAGTAGTGGAAACACTGTTCAAGAAGTTGATATTCATTTTTATTTTTCTGCTTTCTGTTTACTACCCTGAGCTATGGAAGCAATAGGATATTAATTAAGAAATGAAATTATGTCTGGAGACATTCTACTTGTATTATACATTAAACATATGCAGCCAAAACCCAGAATAACAATGGCATTTCCTTATCCTGTGTCACAATCATACTTTTTCAGGCTTTGTCTCTTACATTTCCAGACTGACGCCAAAGTAGTACCAAACTGCAACTGAGAGTAGTGCTTTGCATGATCACTCTGATTTACAAATCTTTTCTAATTCTGATTTAATTTTGTCTCACCTTTAGTAAGAATTCCATCAGTTTCTCTCTCCTAGTAAATTTTTTGTGTCATTTTTCATTTAAAATATTTTATTTTAAAATATCAGGATAGGTATAAAAATAAAGGAGTTAATATTTTAGATCTGTGGGAGTATGCACCAAAAATACAATAATGAGCATCTGTGGGACGATGGATTCAGCCCACTTGTGACAAACACCTTCATAATTCATTCCCAGTCTGAAGCTGTCTTTGAGTTATGAAATGTGTTGTTCACTCATGGGATAAATTACACAGTCCTTGGATAACTATTATGTATCTGAAAATCTCTATGTTGCTCATTGTAGCTTTGGAAAACAGTCAGAAGGCTATACTTGTCTTTCTCCTGCTTTAGCTGCTGGTCTGATGTTTATTGCACAGTGTGTGTTGTAGAAACAAAACAACAACAAGACAAAACCCCCATATATAGCACAGAACAACATTTCTATGATAAGGTGATTATGCCATTCTATAGTGGGCTGTTTACTATTTTGTGTGTGTGTGTATGTAGAAGTGTTTCTCTTAAAATGAAAGATTTTGATCTAGATTTAATCTTTCTTTCTTCCCCCCTCCTTTTGGGGGCAATGTTTCATGTCCAAAGAAACTGGCATTTAATCTCTGTTTAACTAAAATTTAGTCAGCAGTGTTGACACCTCTGCATTTGAACACTGGGATTTCTTTGTGGGATGCAATCCCTTTCACTCTACTTAATATCCCATCTTGGTCTCTAAGGGAAAATAATTGAGTTTAGGCTAGTTTTAAATAGCGATAAGGACGAGGGACACAGATGGGTATTTCATTGATTAACACTAACACTGGCCTAAGGCCTCGGTGTCAGGCATTAGATTAGGACATTACGGAGAGAATGACAGAGTTTTGGCACTTTCTTCCTCCTCAATAACATTCTTTCACATATTAGGTTTATCCCACCCTAGGTAGCTACTTTATCATGCAGAAGGGTCTTAATCCACTGATGTGACTCTATGTGCTCTCACTTTGATGCTGGCTCTGTTTACAAGAGTAATGCAACCAGTGTCAGACAAAGTACTCGTGACAAGAACAACTGAATAAGGCTTTTAGATGCACAGTGGCTTGACCTAAAAAAGGGGGGAAAAAGAAAAAGAAGATGAAGGAGGAGGAGGAGGAGGAGGAGGAGGAGGAGGGGGGGGCACAGGAGGAGAAGAGAAAAAAACTGAAGCTTTTTTAAAAATGAACTTATGTTGTTTGCTTCATGAAAAAACAGACATGAGTTGTTGTTCAGTGTGTGTCTGGGTTTTTTTTTTTTTTTCATCAAGAAGATTCAACTTTACTGATCTTCTTGTACGGCACTTTATCTTTTTCTTCACCTTTGACCTTCCTTTCAGTGCCTCCTCAAGGCACCAGGGAACGAAAGCCTTGTGGTGTTCTTTTAGAAGTAGGATTGTTGCTATCCCCTCTGGTGAATTTAAGCAGCTGTCGGAGTCAGCGACAACTTAGGTTGGCTTCGGAATTGCCCAGCTGGCTGGGAAAGAGATTATGGGTCAGTCCCCAGTGCTGGGAGACAAAAGATTCAAGCAGTTCAGGATTTTTGGGATATCCGAAAAAGATTTCATGATATTTGTAAAGATCTAACAGTGTATTGCAGGTTTCATGTGGCCTTAACAGCTTATAGCAAGTAAAACTCTAAGCAGCCAATAAATGGTGTTTCCATTATTATGCCGTGTCCTTTCTCCTCCCTCTCTCCCGCCTGCAACCACTCTTGCTCTTAATATCTTTTTAGACAATGCCATTCCTTCAAATTGAGTAACTGACTAAGGGGAACAGGTGGCTTCTGGCCCTCATGGGAACTACCCATATCTTTGGAGCCTAAATTGGATTTTAATACTACTTGCTCAACAGATATAAAAAGTGATGCCTGTGGCTAAGGTGTGAGGGTCACTCTGCACTAAGTCACAGCCTGGTTGTTTCTGTTGGCACTCTATATAGAAAATGCTGGATAGTTTTAAGCAGACAACTGTTAACATCTTGAATGATGCTTTGGTTCCCAGGAAAAAGCCAAATCCATGTATATTGTGGCTGTGCAATAATACAAGTCTGCACTCCTCCTCCTCAAATGTTCAGTGATGGTGCAGAGTGGGGATGTCTGCTCCTGCCTTGCCTTTCTACCCATGTCCATGCTGCATCAAAGAAGAAGTTCTGAATGGAAGTACCACCATATCTGGCTGAACATGATTAAACAGCCATCTGCATGGTCAAGGACATGGATTGGGCAGGGCTCCCACCTATGGAGAACAGGACTATCCCAAAACATGCTGCTGCCTGAGGTGTAGAAACCCTGCTCCCATTCCAAGTGCAAAAGCTGACTATGGGCCTGAACAGACTGTCTAAACTGCATTTCCCATGATTCCCTAGCACTGGGCAGTTAAAGTGGTCTCAAACTGGATTATTTCTGACAGTCTGTTCAGGCTCTATGCTGGCTATAGAATCTTATTTCAACTCTTGTGATGGACAACGTTCTTCACTCCATTTGAGAAAAGCAGGCTAGTTTGAGGTGCTGGAGGGGAATAAGTCAAACCACGTATGTACATATAGTAACATACACTGCCTTGGAGTGTGCTGGAGTCTCCTTCTCTGGAGGCATGTAAACAGAGGCTGGATGGCCATCTGTTGAGGTGCTTTGATTGTGTATTTCTCCATGGCAGGAGGTTGAATTGGATGGCCCTTGAGCTCTCTTCTGTGATTCTGTGAACATTTTACTACTGATTCCTGGTTCAGATTAGAAGCTGGCTGAGGCAACCATCTCATTCTGCCTATGACTGACCCTGATACAGAGGACTCTAATCTTATTCAGCTAATTTCGGTTAAATCCAATGTTAGAATAGGTCCTCGGTCTGCAAGGAGACTGGAATTAGTGATGACTAACAAGTCCACTTCCATTCTGTTTAGGAGATAGCATTGGATTTACTCCTCTGTTCATGCTTCACCTGTCAGCTTAGGGAAAT